AATAACTTTGGTGTTTGTAAAGTTAGGAAGTTGGCATTTTCTATGGGTGTTATATTTGGCCAGCCAATCCGACCTACCAAATTTCATAAGGATCGGCCGACTATATCCTATAGCTGCCATATAACTGAACGATTGGAAATGTCATAACTTTGGTGTTTTTAAAGTTAACAAGAAAGGAAAGCTAACTTCGGGCGGAGCCGAAGTTGATATACCCTTGCAGAATATTCTATAAATTATATTCTCCAAAATTATTCATATGATGCATTCTTAATACTCATAAAAAGTCCCAACTTCCTAACTTTAAAAACACCAAAGTTATGTCATTTCCAATCGTTCAGTTATATAGCAGCTATAGGATATAGTCGGCCGATCCTTATGAAATTTGGTAGGTGGGTTTGATTGGCCAACAATAAAACCCATAGAAAATTCCAACTTCCTAACTTTACAAACATCAAAGTTATGGCATTTCCGATCAATCAGTTATATGGCAGCTATAGGATATAGTCCTCCGATCCTTATGAAATTTGGTAGGTCGGATTGATTGGCCAAAAATAAAACCCATAGAAAATCCCAACTTCCTAACTTTAAAAACACCAAAGTTATGGCTTTTCCGATCGTTCAGTTATATGGCAGCTATATGATATAGTGGCCCGATCCGGCTCGTTCCGACTTATATACTACCTGCAATAGAAAGACAACTTTTGGGAAAGTTTCAACCAGATAGCTTTAAAACTGAGGGACTAGTTTGCGTAGAAACGGACGGACAGACGGACAGACGGACAGACGGACAGACGGACAGACGGACAGACGGACGGACAGACGGACGGACAGACGGACAGACGGACATGGCTAGATCGACTCTCCTGGTGATGCTGATCAAGAATATATATACTTTATAGGGTCGGAAATGTCTCCTTCACTGCGTTGCAAACTTTTGACTGAAATTATAATACCCTCTGCAAGGGTATAATAAGTTGGGATTTTTTATGAGTATTAAGAATGCATCATATGAATAATTTTGGAGAATATAATTTACAGAGTATTCTGCAAGGGTATATCAACTTCGGCTCCGCCCGAAGTTAGCTTTCCTTTCTTGTTATACCCTTGCAGAGGGTATTATAATTTTGGTCAAAAGTGTGCAACGCAGTGAAGGAGACATCTCCGACCCTATAAAGTATATATATTCTTGATCAGGATCACCTCCTGAGTTGATATAGCCATGTCCGTCTGTCCGTCTGTCCGTCTGTCCGTCTGTCTGTCCGTCTGTCCGTCTGTCTGTTTCTACGCAAACTAGTCTCTCAGTTTTAAAGCTATCGGATTGAAACTTTGCACACACCCTTCTTTCCTTTGCACGCAGTATATAAGTAGGAACGGCCGGGATCGGCCGACTATATCCTACAGCTGCCATATAACTGATTGATCGGAAATGCCATAACTGTCGTGTTTGTAAAGTTAGAATGTTGGGATTTTCTATGGGTTTTATATTTGGCTAATCAATCCGACATGCCGAATTTCATAAGGATCGGCCTACTATATCCTATAGCTGCCATATAACTGATTGATCGGAAATGCAATAACTTTGGTGTTTGTAAAGTTAGGAAGTTGGCATTTTCTATGGGTGTTATATTTGGCCAGCCAATCCGACCTACCAAATTTCATAAGGATCGGCCGACTATATCCTATAGCTGCCATATAACTGAACGATTGGAAATGTCATAACTTTGGTGTTTTTAAAGTTAATAAGTTGGGATTTTTTATGAGTATTAAGAATGCATCATATGAATAATTTTGGAGAATATAATTTACAGAGTATTCTGCAAGGGTATATCAACTTCGGCTCCGCCCGAAGTTAGCTTTCCTTTCTTGTTATACCCTTGCAGAGGGTATTATAATTTTGGTCAAAAGTGTGCAACGCAGTGAAGGAGACATCTCCGACCCTATAAAGTATATATATTCTTGATCAGGATCACCTCCTGAGTTGATATAGCCATGTCCGTCTGTCCGTCTGTCCGTCTGTCCGTCTGTCTGTCCGTCTGTCCGTCTGTCTGTTTCTACGCAAACTAGTCTCTCAGTTTTAAAGCTATCGGATTGAAACTTTGCACACACCCTTCTTTCCTTTGCACGCAGTATATAAGTAGGAACGGCCGGGATCGGCCGACTATATCCTACAGCTGCCATATAACTGATTGATCGGAAATGCCATAACTTTCGTGTTTGTAAAGTTAGGAAGTTGGGATTTTCTATGGGTTTTATATTTGGCCAATCAATCCGACCTACCAAATTTCATAAGGATCGGCCGACTATATCCTATAGCTGCCATATAACTGATTGATCGGAAATGCCATAACTTTGGTGTTTGTAAAGTTAGAAAGTTGGGATTTTCTATGGGTTTTATATTTGGCCAATCAATCCGACCTATCAAATTTCATAAGGATCGGCCGACTATATCCTATAGCTGCCATATAACTGATTGATCGGAAATGCCATAACTTTGGTGTTTGTAAAGTTAGAAAGTTGGGATTTTCTATGGGTTTTATATTTGGCCAATCAATCCGACCCACCAAATTTCATAAGGATCGGCCGACTATATCCTATAGCTGCCATATAACTGATTGATCGGAAATGCCATAACTTTGGTGTTTGTAAAGTTAGAAAGTTGGGATTTTCTATGGGTTTTATATTTGGCCAATCAATCCGAGCTACCAAATTTCATAAGGATCGGCCGACTATATCCTATAGCTGCCATATAACTGATTGATCGGAAATGCCATAACTTTGGTGTTTGTAAAGTTAGAAAGTTGGGATTTTCTATGGGTTTTATATTTGGCCAATCAATCCGACCCACCAAATTTCATAAGGATCGGCCGACTATATCCTATAGCTGCCATATAACTGATTGATCGGAAATGCCATAACTTTGGTGTTTGTTAAGTTAGGAAGTTGGGATTTTCTATGGATTTTATTTTTGGCCAATCAATCTGACCTACCAAATTTCATAAGGATCGGCCGACTATATCCTATAGCTGCCATATAACTGATTGATCGGAAATGCCATAACTTTGGTGTTTGTTAAGTTAGGAAGTTGGGATTTTCTATGGATTTTATTTTTGGCCAATCAATCCGACCTACCAAATTTCATAAGGATCGGCCGACTATATCCTATAGCTGCCATATAACTGAACGATTGGAAATGCCATAACTTTGGTGTTTGTAAAGTTAGAAAGTTGGGATTTTCTATGGGTTTTATATTTGGCCAATCAATCCGACCCACCAAATTTCATAAGGATCGGCCGACTATATCCTATAGCTGCCATATAACTGATTGATCGGAAATGCCATAACTTTGGCGTTTGTTAAGTTAGGAAGTTGGGATTTTCTATGGATTTTATTTTTGGCCAATCAATCTGACCTACCAAATTTCATAAGGATCGGCCGACTATATCCTATAGCTGCCATATAACTGATTGATCGGAAATGCCATAACTTTGGTGTTTGTTAAGTTAGGAAGTTGGGATTTTCTATGGATTTTATTTTTGGCCAATCAATCCGACCTACCAAATTTCATAAGGATCGGCCGACTATATCCTATAGCTGCCATATAACTGAACGATTGGAAATGCCATAACTTTGTTGTTGTTAAAGTTAGGAAGTTCGGATTTTTTATGAGTATTAAGAATGCATCATATGAATAATTTTGGAGAATATAATTTACAGAGTATTCTGCAAGGGTATATCAACTTCGGCTCCGCCCGAAGTTAGCTTTCCTTTCTTGTTTTTATTATATTTTTCACTTCCATTTTATTTTATTTTTTTCCAACATTTAAAAACTTTGAATTTATTTATAGTTTGAATTTATTTATATCTTGATTAAACGCTAAGTTGTGCGTTTTGTATAATAAATAAATAAGCAAGATATAAATAAATAGAATATCTAATAAATAAGAATTCTATAATATACTAATTATACCCGTTACTCGTAGAGTAAAAGGGTATATTGTATTCGTGCAAAAGTATGTAACAGCTAGAAGGAAGCGTTTCCGACCCTATAAAGTATATATATTCTTGATCAGGGTCACTAGCCGAGTCGATATAGCCATGTCCGTCTGTCCGTCTGTCCGTCTGTCCGCCTGTCCGTCTGTCCGTCCGTATGAACGCTGAGATCTCGGAAACTATAAAAGCTAGAAGATTGGTATTTTGCATGCAGATTCTAGGAGTTCCTACGCAGCGCAAGTTTGTTTCAAAAAGGTACCACGCCCCCTTTAACGCCCACAATCGCTTATATACGATTTTAAAAATTTAAATATTTCGGAAAAAAAAAGATGCAGTTTTATTGTGTTTATCAATACCTATCGAAATGTAGAAGAAATTTTTCAAATCGGACCATTCGTTAAAAAGTTATGCGTGATCAAAGTTTCTATCTCCATCTCCCTCGCACTCCCTTTACCTGAGTAACGGGTATTTGATAGTCGGGGCACCCGACTATAGCGTTCTCTCTTGTTTTTAAGTTCGATCAGGCACGACATAAATTTTATTTTAAACGTAGATACTTAAATATTTAAACTATTCACCAATTTACAATAAGTCCTACTTAATGCTTTTATTTTTACCAGAAAATAGCAAAACTTTCTAATCTAATAATTTAATAATTAAAAGAACTAAAAATATATTTTAGATAACAATGTAACTGAAAATCAGAGCGAAAAATGTTTAGACTGAGTATTAAATACTTACATTACATACTTACATTACCAATGTGCAAGGGTAAATGAAAAGTGGTGTTTTTCAGAAACAGTACACATAAGCTCCGAGAATAGTTCAAGTAAGTAATACAAGCTGAGAAAATATGACTTTTTTGGATCGAGTAGTTATGATACATACATACTTAGATAACGGCCCGAGAACTTTGGAGGGAGCGTCACAATCGAGGCTATAAAAGCTGCCGCCCATCCAATGCCTTTATTATTCTTATTTCGGAATATTAAGGATTATATATACACGCCATGGCCTCCAGTTCAAACCAGGTTAATAAACACTTAAAAAACGTGTAGAGGAAGTGGTTTTATCATAAATTTTTCAAAACGATAGAATGATTTCGAGAAGATAATGGAGTGCATTACGGTGGCCGAGGTGGAGAGGATCCACACGCTGTCAAACAGCCTCGAAAAAACGATGCTGGATCCGGTGGCTTTAAAGCTATTCCGGGGCTTCTTGGAGTCAAAGTGTCTGACATGCATTCAGTGTCTGGACATTCATGAGAAGTGCGCCCAGTTTCTTGCAGAGAAGCACCCCTTGTACGACTCGTCCGAATTGAATATTTTGTCCAACCTGGGCCTGCTTTCGCATTTGAAGCAGAGGCTAGCATATCGTTTAGATGACGGTGATCCGACGTCCATCAGTCTCTGCCTTAAAAACATCAAACTCCAATGTCGCAATGAAATTGAAGACTACTTTTTCGACTTTAAAGCATCTGTTTCAAAAAAGGTGGGTCGAGTGCCAAAATAAACCAGGTCGGAGCTAAAATGTATTTCCAGACCAGAAATAAAGATATATTGCCTGTTTCTAGTAGTCTCCCTGATTGAGAAAACATATCTTGCTTTAGGAAGTACTTGCAAATGAATTTTGTCCATTTTTTGTCCAATTTACACTTATAGGTATAAGAATAAAGTTTTATTGTGCAAGAATTATAAATAAAATTTAAGGAAAAATTTGTTTATAAAATTATCTTTTACATGGTTTAATCCAACCAGAAAGAGTATGTATACGTTCAAGAATAAGGGGTGAGGCAGTGGGTAAGAATATGAGTCAAGCCATGTCAAACATGTCAGCGATCCCTTAAAAATATTTTTTATTTTTTAAAAATTTTTCGGTAAAAAATCGTTTTTCTTGTTATTAAATTTTATCACCACTCGACAAAGCGCTCAGATATAATAACTTTTTCAACCGAATTAAAATAAATTACGATATTTGAGAGTGCATTACTCATGGTGCTATGTAATGTTATTTGATTAACTATTATCTTGAAAAAGTTTCGCAATCTATTCATTTTAGAAAATACTCATATGATTTTTTGAGTCAAACCGAAACAAAAACCTTAAGTCCTCAAGTTGTAGCGAAAAGAATTTAAGCAAAAAATGAACAATTTTTTGGGTATTTATTTAGTAAATAAAATAATTTCTGTTTTTATGCGTGCATTTTTATTTATTTTACCAAATTTGATAAAATTCTGTCAGCATCTTAAATGACGAACCAATCTTTATAGCTTGTATAGGAATGTACTAGTAAAACAAGAAAGGAAAGCTAACTTCGGGCGGAGCCGAAGTTGATATACCCTTGCAGAATACTCTGTAAATTATATTCTCCAAAATTATTCATATGATGCATTCTTAATACTCATAAAAAATCCCAACTTCCTAACTTTAAAAACACCAAAGTTATGGCATTTCCAATCGTTCAGTTCTATGGCAGCTACAGGATATAGTCGACCGATCCTTAGGTAGGTCGGATTGATTGGCCAAAAATAAAACCCATAGAAAATCCCAGCTTCCTAACTTTACAAACACCAAAATTATGGCATTTCCGATCAATCAGTTATATGGCAGGTATAGGATATAGTCGGCCGATCCCGGCCGTTCTGACATATATACTGCGTGCAAAGGAAAAAAGGGTGTGTGCAAAGTTTGAACTCGATAGCTTTAAAACTGAGAGACTAGTTTGCGTAGAAACAGACAGACGGACAGACGGACATGGCTATATCAACTCAGGAGGTGATCCTGATCAAGAATATATATACTTTATAGGGTCGGAGATGTCTCCTTCACTGCGTTGCAAACTTTTGACCAAAATTATAATACCCTCTGCAAGGGTATAATAAATAACAAGAGAGAACGCTATAGTCGGGTGCCCCGACTATCAGATACCCGTTACTCAGGTAAAGGGAGTGCGAGGGAGATGGAGATAGAAACTTTGAGCACGCATAACTTTTTAACGAATGGTCCGATTTGAAAAATTTCTTCTACATTTCGATAGGTATTGATAAACACAATAAAACTGCATTTTTACTTTTCCGAAATATTTAAATTTTTAAAATCGTATATAAACGATTGTGGGCGTTAAAGGGGGCGTGGCACCTTTTTGAAACAAACTTGCGCTGCGTAGGAACTCCTAGAATCTGGATGCAAAATGCCAATCCTCTAGCTTTTATAGTTTCCGAGATCTCAGCGTTCATACGGACAGACAGACAGACAGACAGACAGACAGACAGACAGACAGACGGACAGACAGACGGACATGGCTAAATCGACTCGGCTCAAGAATATATATACTTTATAGGGTCGGAAACGCTTCCTTCTACCTGTTACATACTTTTGCACGAATACAATATACCCTTTTACTCTACGAGTAACGGGTATAAAAACAAGAAAAGACGAAAACTTCGCAAGTTCTATCTGCTAATATCCAAATAAATGTTTTACTGAGTGTGATTTAATCAAACCACACTTCCTGTGTTGACTATTGTTTTGCTCACATTCCAACTGTTTTATTCATTGAAGTGGTGACCTCGTAAACATTCATATTAAAAACTTAATTTAAATTTATTCTCAATTGTACTTTAGTTACTCACATTCAAGTCGCCAAAAAAACGAATTTAAACAAAATAAAACTGCATTTTTACTTTTCCGAAATATTTAAATTTTTAAAATCGTATATAAGCGATTGTGGGCGTTAAAGGGGGCGTGGCACCATTTTGAAACAAACTTGCGCTGCGTAGGAACTTCTAAAATCTACATGCAAAATGCCAATCTTCTAGCTTTTATAGTTTCCGAGATCTCAGCGTTCATACGGACAGACAGACGGACAGACAGACGGACAGACGGACATGGCTATATCAACTCAGGAGGTGATCCTGATCAAGAATATATATACTTTATAGGGTCGGAAACGCTTCCTTCTAGCTGTTACATACTTTTGCACGAATACAATATACCCTTTTACTCTACGAGTAACGGGTATAACAAGTTGTTTTGCTCTTAAAACAACAATTCAAGCTTTGGCAATTTTTGCGCATGTATATTTATATACGTATTCCAACTTGTAATTTTCATTTAATTGTTCGACGACATCGACACAAGCAAACATTTTTAAACCTAAACTTAGCTTTATAGGCAATTTTTTTTTGGCTGCCACCCTCAGGTCGCCTGTTATCAGATTTTGATAACCCCATGCAGCTGTCGTTGACGACAGTTAATTAAATCTTTGACCACAGCACCTAAACACAGGGTATACATTTACATACGATCGAATTGACATATCAACTAGGATCGACGCACAATCGCTATATTCAATCACGTCATCGCTGAAACACCCCCTGCCACGGCTAATCCTAATTGCAGATAAACATCTCAATTGCTCAGCCAAACGCACAACATCTGCGCGTCCAACGGTTGACAGCCATAATGATGTTTTAAATGGCACGCTCGCACTGCCAAATAATAACGCTTAAAAATAATAATTTCTCCTGCTTTTTTAAAGGAATTTTTTTCCAGCGTGTGGACATGCATGTCGGAAGACCGGAAATAATTTTCTAGTTGCAGTGCACCGCACACCGTTGTCTACACTAAACAAAATGTTTTAAAAAATGCTGCCAAATATAATAAAATAAAATATTTTTATGTTGGCATAGTTCTACAAAATCAAGAAATTTAAATTTATTTATTTATAAACGAAGTAATAATTGTAAAATCATATACAATATCACTTACCCTAACCAACGAGAAATTAAATGACCAACCTTTTTATATCCCTGCAGAGCGTATTATAATTTTAGTCATTTTTATTCCTACCATATGAAGTATATATTTTCTTGATTAGCATCACCAGGAGAGTCGATCTGGCCATGTCCGTCTGTCCGTCCGTTTCTACGCAAACTTGTCCCTCAGTTTAAAAGCTATCTGCTTGAAACTTTCCAAAAAGTTGTATTTTTTATTGCAGGTATATAAAGGCGGAACGAGCCGGATCGGGCGACTATGTCATAAAGCTCGCATTGGAACAATCGGAAAAAAAAGTATAACTTTGTTGTTCTTAATTTTTTTTTTTGGGGATTTGGTAATAAATTAATACCGTGGAGTTACTGTTTTAATTAAATTAAAATCGGACATCTAGTCACTCCCATAAGAAAATGAAGAAATTAAAAAATATAAATATTCCTTTAAGATATAGAAATTATTTACTATATCAGAATTATGCTTTTAGTTTTGTCAAAATCGGACAACAATATCAAATATCTGCCATAGAAACGATGGCAAAATGCAGCGCATAATCGACATAACTTAATTGTTTTTAGTAATATAGGCATAGAAATCGAAATGTAGTCGTTTTTTAATATCTGTAAGGGTATATAAACTTCTGCTTGCCGAAATTTCTTTCTTGTTATAAATAAAAACTTTTTGACATATAAACTTTTTGACATATTATTATGTAAATGTGTACACCAAATTAAAATTCATTTTTGTCAGTAATTGAACGGTATCTATTTTTAAGAGTGTACCATTTACACCCACCCCAAATGATCGAAAAAATGAACTGCACTTGTACTTTATGATGTTTGTCTGTTTGCCCGTTGTCCCTCTTTTTTAATGATATCGACACTCGCTGGGTGCAGAGGACACGGGGACAACGAGGGCCAGGTGTTCAATATATGCTCGTGCTGATAACTATATAATTTATCCTCAAATTGTTCCTTTTGCCCTCGTCGCTTGAACTGTAATTAGATTTTGTTGGGTAGATTTGTGTGAAATGTTTATTCGATTTAAACTAAACCACTATGTATAACATTTAGATATTAGCGAACTTAGAGCAATTAAATACCACAGAACTTGTTTTCCTCATATAATTATTAAGTTGGTTAATATGTGTTAGGTGCCATGACTAGCAAGGCTTGACTAGTAGGAGTTCCTTTGAATCTCATTCTCTCTGGCTGTCTTCAGTTCTTTATTGGGAACCGGCCATCCTCATATTCCGCTGCCGCTGCTAAAGATACTGGCCGTTGCTCCCGGATCGGACATATCGGCACTTCCGCTGAAATCGTCGCTGCTCTGGTTGCTGTTTTGATTCTGGTTCGAGCTGCTGTTGTTGTACAGGGGCTGGGGCTGTGAGTGGGGGCCCCTAGGGTCCTCCGGTGTCCAGGTGCGGGCGTAGAGCTTACTGCCCGGGTATCGGTCGCCCTTGCGGTACCAGGACAACGAGTGCGCCACGCCGCCAGCTGCAAGGGTTAGATAAAGGATGAGCACGTTGTAAGCACACATTTCAAATAACAGTTTAGTTAACTTTATAGCAATACATAAAGTGAATACATAATACACACAACTATAAAACCGCACTACCAATTGGAGGCTGATTGTTCCGAAAATAAATGTACATAGCTTCGGACTGAATTGTCAATTGGTATCGCCTTGGAGGCGACTATAATTCTTTTTTGGAAAAATAAATCAAATTTCTCGCCTACATAAGTAGGAGAGGATAAGAAATCAGTGCGTTGGAAGTATAACATAAAAAAATAACTTAAACTTTCCGCTTAACTTTAAATTCCGCTTGGCACCGTTGTCATGAACTAATCAATTTTTAGCCAAATATGTACTATGTACGCTTAGTAACCGATTCTCAGATCTTCCTACTCCCGAGAAAGTTGCTCTTTGCCGAATTATACCAATTCGTAATAAAGCTGAATTTTGCTTGCCGAATTTATATTAAAGCAGAATGCGTTGTGCTGGGTATTGGACTTGCGCATGCCCAGATCCACGGGGGGATTAGTGGGTTCAACTTCCACACCCCCACACTCCACATTTGGAAGAAAAATTATAGGAAATGTTGCATACAAAAAATATAACAAAAAATATTTTCTGAAACCCCTCCACAACCAAAAATCTGGATCCGCCACTGGGATTGTGTGCTTGTTGTTATACGATGGTTCCTATGGGAGCTATATGATATAGTCCCGCTGATTCCGACTTATATACTACCTGCAATAGAAAGACAACTTTGGGAAAGTTTCAAGCAGATAGCTTTCAAACTGAGAGAATAGTTTGCGTAGAAACAGACGGGCGGACAGAGGAGCAGACGGACGGACGGACAGACGGACATGGCTAGATCGACTCTCCTGATGATGCTAATCAAGAATATATATACTTTATAGGGTCGAAAATGTCTCCTTAATTGCGTTACAAACTTTATAATTCCCATTGCAAGGGTATAAAACTTTATTGTTTTTAATTTTTGTATTTTGTGATTTGGCATTAGATAATGTTTAAATACCATGGGGTTACTGTTTCAATAAAATTAGAAGCGGACATTTATATCATATAGGTCACAAAGAAAAATCGAAAAAATTAAAAAACAAGAAAGGAAGAAAACTTTGATAAATGTTGATCAAGATATATCAATAATTAATAATCAGTCCCTTTCATCGTTGAATATCTGCGCAAAATTACAATAAACTACAATATCGTTACACGTCTTGTCAAAAAACAATCAAATGAAGCCGCTTAAGCACTTCAGATGCATTTGTTGAAAAGCAAAAACATAAAAACAAAAGTACGAAGGACAACATTATAATTGCAGTTTTAATGAAAATCACTGTTTCAGTCGATATCATCAGGGTTCTTAAACTGAATCAATTGGCTTGCCAGAGTCAAGCGCCGCCCAAGCAATTAAAAATGTTGCCAAAAACTGAGCAAATGCCATTAGCGACCACATTACGGGCCCATCATCGTGGCAGGGCAAACAAATATGGCAAAGGGTTGATCCCCGGGTTCCCCGGCTTGTTGTTGCAGCTGCCACCCCGCAGCGCCCCGCCATTTGCCCTGGACAAATAAAACCAAAACCGAAAGAAAAATCCGTATCCTCCCTTTTCGGTTTTATCCAATCAGAACTAACATGCCACCCAAGTCGGGCAATTTGTAGTTCTCGCAGTTTTCGAGTGCTTATGCGGGTGCTGCTCAAATATGCGACCCCGGCAGTTTCCGGCGCAGCTTCCTCATCCTGGCAAGTTGGTGTGAACATATGCCAGGCGCGTGCCAAATCCCCAGCTCCTTAACCATTCTTGCACGCATTTAAATGGGCGTTTTGTGGAGCTTCCCCCCGGTAAACTTTCGTTACACTTTTTGATCGTCTGTATTTTTGTTTTTGCTGCAACATTTTTAATGCCCGTTAAGCATGAAAACGCTTTCGCCATCAACACGGCCATCTCCGTCTCTATCTCCCCACTGTTCTGACCTGGTCGCCCTCCATTTGGCCTTTAAGCGGCGACGACGACAGAGACAGCAGCCATCTGCTGGAGGGTAACGAATTTCTCACGCTATGATTATGTCGATTGGGCTTTGTTGTTCATGTTATTGTTACTATTTGGTTCGGTTGGGATGGGTTCGGTTCCTCCACCCACGAACTTACTCCCCCTGTTGTGTAGTGGTTGGGGAGACGGAATCGGGCAAGGTGTACTGTGTGCATGTGGGACTTTTATCAGGTATACACAAATTACACATCAGAGCTTGCATGTTCATTTTGTCGGGGCCGCATCGAAAGGCCTGAGAAATAGGCCTGGAAGAAGGCCAACAATAATTCTATTTGATTTTTAAGCTAAGCTAACTATGCCCGTTCTTCATTGACTTAAGCTAAATTCTTAAAAAAATTATAATCCATAAGCCACAGTAATTTCCCATAACAATAAATAAATTGAAGAAAAACGTTTTACAACTTTTTAAAAGTCTATCAGTAGGTAGATTTTTATACCCTTGCAGAGGGTATTATAATTTCCTATAAAGTATATATATTTTTGATCAGCATCACCAGGAGAGTCGATCTAGCCATGTCCATCCGTCTGTCAGTCCGTCCGTCCGTTTCTACGCAAACTAGTCCCTCAGTTTTAAAGTTATCTGCTGGAAACTTTCCTTTCAGCATGGATCGTCAATTTTTCACTAAAAACGCCCAGTGACCTGGGACTGCAGCAAATAGAGGTCAGTGTTCCCGTAGTCAAGTGCTATTTTAGAAACTTTTTGTATACTTTAGCAATTTTGACTACGAGCACATTTTGATCTGTCCATATTTTGGTGGAGCTGATATCGAAATACAAAAGGTTGAGAAGATGCTACCTACTAGGTAAAAATTATTGAATTACACAAATATTTGTTTTTTTACCTTTGCAGAGGATATTATAATTCCAGTCAAAGGTTTGCAACGCAGTAAAGGAGACATTTCCGATCCTATAAAGTGCATATATCTTTGATCAGCATCTCCAGAGTCGATCTAGCCATGTCTCTCTGTCCGTCCGTTTCTACGCAGCCTAGTCCCTCAGTTTTAAAGCTATCTGCCTGAAACTTTCCCAAAAGTTATCTTTCTATTGCGGGTAGTATAGAAGCCGGAACGAGCCGGATGGGACGACTATATCATATAGCTCCCATAAGAACAATCGGAAAAAATTAAAAAGTTAATCAAAATATTCTTTTGAGATATACTAATTATTTACTATATCAGAATTACGCTTTTTATAATGTAACTGCGATAGAAACGATGGCAAGATGCAGTTCAAAATCGACATAGCTTTATTGTTTTTTGTAATATAGGCGTACAAATCGAAAGGTAATCGTTCTGTAATAACTGCAAAGGTTAATAAACTTCCCCTTACCAAAGCTTGCCTCCTTTCCTGTTTTAATTTCTAACTGACAGTTTAGCCAATTTGTCATAAGTCCCTAATATATTTAATTTAAAGTAAATGCACACAACTAAAAACAATATTTTATCAAACTAACTAAGCACACCCATAGTTATGCGTTATTGTATGATTTTTTTTTAAATGATTCCCAACGTAATAAATTTGAATTCAAATTACTTCACTGATGCGACTTATTCCCACTCAAAAACCAGTTTTAACTCAACTTTAACCAGTTCAAATTTGTGTTGTGACACACAAAAAAAAAAGGTATTACTTTTTTTAAGGGCTATTCATAACACTTAATAAGTAACGTCTCCCTTTACCATTCGCGAAACCCCAAATCAACACCCTTTTTGCGTTTCCAAGTGCCGAGACTATTAGTTATGCAGATCCAAGGATCCCTTTGCCAAGAAACTCGATGAAGGCTGCAGTGTCATACATTTTGAATAGGAAAATTATTAACCAAAAAACCGTGACCAAAGCAACTTTTATGAGCTGGCACACGGAAACCCCTAATCCACAGCCATTGTATCCCGGGTGAAACTCGTGAAAACCCTGCCATGCCGCATCCCCATCCATATCCACAGACTTGATGATCGATGCGACGGCAATGAGCAAAACAATTTGCTTGACTGGCAGTCACGCAAAGCCCGCAGTGCGAACCCAAAGTCCGGAGAAAGAAGTGTGAAAATTCTAATTAGTTACACTTAGGCAGACACGGTGAACCCAGAATCGATGGCAGGATGCAACTCAGCATCCCCTTTCAGGTCCCGTTCGGTACAAAAACCACACCATCCGTAGATAACCTTTGAATAAGGCCAGTGCCCCGGATGAATTATGTTATTAAATGTGTACCAGATCGCACTGACCGCCCGCCCACCTATGCTATACATGGCGATTGATTGATTGACAACTCACTGCGATCCTTGAGGATTATTTTCTTGGGCGGTTCCTTCTGGTAATTGCGCTGCAAGCTTAGGCCGGGTTCGTTGCCATTCTTATCCTTTTTGACCATCTCGCTGAGGAAGGTTATATAGCTGATGGCCAGCTTGAGTGTGTCGACCTGGGAAGGAAATCAATTCGTGGGGTTCATATGAAATGAATTTTCTAAGACAAGTCGACGAGAGTTTAAAAAATGTTCATAAAATAAAGAAATTCTTCAAATAGCTTAAGACTTCATTTAAAATATTTTAATGATTTGTTAATAGGTTGAAAAAACGTTTAGTTTATAAATTAAATTAGTTCAGCCAGACAATTGCCTATTTAAAACTACTTGACTTATTTTGTAAAAAAGTTATTATTTTTTATTATTAACATTCTGTTGATTGTGAAATTAGAAAATAAATAAGAAATTTATGAATATCCATGACACATCAACAGAATTTTATGAAAGCGTAGATTCATTTTGTTGATTGTGAAATTAGAAAATAAATAAGAAATTTTTTAATATCAATGAAAAATTATGAAATCGTAGATTATATTTGTATATATGACTCTAGTGTTCAGGTCAGGCTATCTCTTTACCAGTCAATATGACTGTTAGTTAGTATGGTAAGATTTGATACACTTATTGTTATTCTCGTAAGGAGAAGATTCAAAAAATAAAAGCAAGATTACATTAAAAAAAATAAATGACTCTTAATAAATGTAAATATTTGAAGTAATACATTTTTAAAAAAAAAATTAAAACAGTTTCAGAAACAAAAAAAATCAATACATTTTTAATAAGAATTTAGAAAAAGGTTACATTTTTTTCTAAATTTGTACTTTAACAATATTGTATGTGCTTCTCACTTTCCCTTTAGACTTAAAGATATGCCTATAAGACTAATAAAAAACAAGAAAGGAAAGCTAACTTCGGGCGGAGCCAAAGTTGATATACCCTTGCAGAATATTCCATAAATTATATTCTCCAAAATTATTCATATGATGCATTCTTAATACTCATAAAAAGTCCCAACTTCCTAACTTTAAAAACACCAAAGTTATGACATTTCCAATCGTTCAGTTATATGGCAGCTATAAGATATAGTCGGCCGATCCTTATGAAATTTGGTGGGTCGGATTGATTGGCCAAAAATAAAACCCATAGAAAATCCCAACTTCCTAACTTTACAAACACCAAAGTTATGGCATTTCCGATCAATCAGTTATATGGCGACTATAGGATATAGTCGCCCGATCCGGCTCGTTCCGACTTATATACTACCTGCAATAGAAAGACAACTTTTGGGAAAGTTTCAAGCAGATAGCTTTAAAACTGAGGGACTAGTTTGCGTAGAAACGGACGGACGGACGGACAGATGGACAGACGGACATGGCTAGATCGACTCTCCTGGTGATGCTGATCAAGAATATATATACTTTATAGGGTCGGAAATGTCTCCTTCACTGCGTTGCAAACTTTTGACTGAAATTATAATACCCTCTGCAAGGGTATAAAAATAGTTTTTTGGTATGGTATAAAATAATCCCATTTTGACCTTAATTGGAATACAATTATTGATTTTCTTAAGCATACAAATTTCAAATACTTAATTTAAACTGATCAGACGTACATTGTCTCGCCTGGTGTAATCAGATGTGTAAGCGAACATGCCATGTTAACAATGGTTTACTTTATAAAACCTTTGATAAAATGGCAATACCTATTTCAATAAAATTAGAAATTAATTTTTTTGATATTAAAGAAAGTAAAATCTAACTGTTAATTTTTTTTATATATTTTGTATGTTTTTCAAAAACGCCACACAATGATAGGCTTTGTTTTTGAGTATTGTAAGGTGTATTCTAAAGATTATTTCTTAACAGAAAAAGAGAACATTCATTTTATAAATATCTTAGAATATTGAAACAGTTTGATTTTAAAGAGGACTAAAGAAAAATTGGATAAGTGTTTTAATTACCTTGCTCAGTCGCTTTTCGTAGGGCAGCGTGGGAATATGGGTGCGCAGGCCCTCGAACGCCTCGTTGATGCTCTGCATCCGCCGGCGTTCCCGGAGATTGGCCGCCTGCCGCTGCTGGGCCATTTGGGAGGCGCACTTCAGGCGCCGTGGCTTGTGGCTCCGCCGGCTGAATGGGGAGAAGCTGAAGTCGATTAATTGGGGCCCGGGTGCAAACGGATGACATGCTTACGTCTTCTCGGTGTTCTCCTGGTCGCTGTTAAAGCCGCTGCTATAGGCATCATCCTCATCATCGCTCTCCGAGCTGTGCTCGTCCCCGAAAAAATAATCGGAGCTGGAGGTGGAGGCGTTGGTGGCCTGCGATCCCTCGAAGAAGTGACGCGCCATCGTGGCCTCCAAGTCAAAATTGTCCATGGAAAACATTGTCCGGCAATCAAGGAATATCTTTCGCTTGTGTTTGACGACTTAATTGCCCGCTAAGTGCATAACGGTAAAGCTAACACTTCCGATCCGCTGATTGGCGACGCGTGTCCAGCACGTGTCACAAGAGTTGAAATTCTGGAGTGGGACAGCAGGTCGGAGAACGCGTGTTGTGGGCTTTGGCTTCTGCTTCTCTCTAAAAGTGGGTTTTATATGTCGCGAGGTTACTTTTGTTGTTTACTTGTTCAGTTTTTTATATTGATAATAAACATGTCCAACATTGTTTCGATTAGATAAGATACGGCTTATTGTCTCATAGATCTGAATCGTGGCACTTACAAGGATATGAAACTAGAGTGAGTAAAGAATAAAAAGATTCGATTTTAAGGAGGTGATTTTACTCAAATATTACTCAAATCTACCATTTCTAACATCATATTTTTAATGGTTTATTATAATTTTTAATTGGTTATCAGGATCTGGATGACTTTATTAGTTTTAATAATATCATGATAAAATATTAATAAAATCCATCCTGCAATTTCCTTATATGGATATATACAAAATTATAATATTAGCAAAATAAAATATTTATCTTATATAGCAGTTCAAATTTGTAATGCCTAGACTTACCCCGAACACTTAGGAGTATCCAATAATCCTTTAGACTAGATTTTAATCCAAAAAATGTTGTAATCTACCAATTTCTCAGAAATGTTTTACTTCAATTTCAAATTGCACATCACCCAAGCACCGAATGTTTCCACACACGCACTCAATTACTGAATTTCCTATGACTAACACCCCAATAATCCTTATAGATGGGACGGTAGCGCGGGCTCTGACATCGAAGCGCGTTGTGTTGCGAACTCTCTGACTGCCGGGAAGCGAATGCCTGAGCCTGGGCCCGGTCCTGGAACTTCCACAGGTCCTGTCTGATAAGAAGAGTGCGGCGAGGGGTGGATAGTGCAGAAGCATATACATGTAGTATCTTTCAATGGCGGTGCCACATCAAAAGATACAGCCAAAGGGGCGGCGCCAAAGTTTCCACCAATCGGAACGCTGCAAGTTAAAAGTTTTGGCCAAACAGGGTTGTATTGTACGGGGTGCCATAAGCTTATTAAGTTTTCCCAGAGGTTGGGCAGGGTGACAATTTTGGTGTTTCAGGCCATGCTCTACCATTCAATTGTTTTTTGATTCGGGCGCTCGTTTATCTGTTTAAGCGGAATTATTGCCCAAGTGCTTGACAATGGAAGGTGTTGATGTTTGATGTAGACAAGTGTTTTGCCCCAGGGGGCGGATGTGCCTGGAAGGGGTTGTTGTAGCAGCTGCACAAGTTCCGCAGTGATATGCGGGAATAATGATCTCGCTTGTGTCTTTTCCATCGTGGGGATTATTCTGTACCAAACCTAAGTCTAATTAATGATTTGTTGCAACCAAGAGGAGCTCAGCCAACATGGTAAAAATATCCAAAATAGTTGGCCTGTTAACGAAGCCCCAGCGGAATTTGTCAACCAGCATAATTTTTAAGCATTAGCAGAGAACCAATTCAAATATTTACACAGTCTAGCATTTTCCCTTTCCTTTTTATGTGAACAACTCCATTAAAAGGCGATTTCAGAATATACTGCATATTTTTCAGGGCTCAACAAATCAAGGGGTGCAAAATACGCTACACTCGAAGTTAATACTCCTCAAATGTTAGAAAATTAAATCGAATTGAGAAAAATCTTTGTAGCGAATACGAGTTCCACGTAAAGTAAAGTAAATACAAAGTGTGACAAACTTAAAAAATCTTGTAAAGCGTGTGCTAACATGTACGTTGAATTATGCAAACAAATAAATCACATAAACAAAAACTGCAAATCTTTAAATAGTAATTTTTAATAGTATTAGTTGTTAATAATAGTACACCTAAATTTAATTTTCTGAATGTTATAAGTATTTAAACGAATCGTTAGTTGGAACAGTAAAAAAAATAAAACTAGGTATCCTAGTTCCATTTAATGACACTAACTTTTTTTTTCCACCCAAGACTTTATAATTTACGTTTTTATTTTAATAAAAAATATATAATGTTAGTATTATAAATATAATAATATAGCTTTCTATTCTCAGTATTCTTTAAGATTTGTATTTAAAACAAAAAGTTTTGGCTAACCAAACTTAGCACGCATTTTTTAATAGTGTAACCCCGTGCATCCTGCCCTCCCCTGGTTCGTTGCTCGGCTCGTTCTCGTCCTGTTCCTTGCCGATCTCTGTTTGTTTGTTGTCCTTTTTTCCGTACTGTCCTGTGTGTGTTGCCTCATCATCAGACAACCTCACTAAGGCTACCATGATAAACAAATTGTTTTGCCTCTGCCAGAAGCCTACCGCCTACCCCCAGTCCTTCGCCTTTGTTTCTGCGTTGTTATCGTTGCCGGCGCTGCTCGTTTTGTGCAGCTGTACAAACAAATTAGTTTTCAATTTTATTAAGTTGTCTTGCAACAAAAATTTGTGGGCTGAAAGCTTCGAGGTTTTCATGAGAGATCATAGGCTACGATAGAAAAATTGTGGCAAACAATAACAGCATATAAATAACTTATTTTTATTAAATTGCCACAACTTAAATTTGGAATTTTCATATGTCCTGATATCCCACATTTCCCACTGAAATTCCAAACAATGCGTTTAATAATAAAAGACTTGAAGCCAAAATTACACTAATAAGATCCCAAACTTATATAATGCAAACAAGAAAGGTGAAGCAAAACCTAAATAGCATAAAAAATCTGTAAGTCTCAGCCACTTTGAAAACACAAAATTTTGAATTGTAGAGAAGGGCAACGCGAGCTAATCATATTTGAATTGTGTTATTTCATGGCCCTTAGTTCAACCGCAAGAACATGTTATGGGTAAATGAATATTCCCTCTGTAATTTTCAATCCAAATGCAGCTAGCTGAACTGAACTTAAATTCGCCGGCACTTGGAGAATTATGCACACGTCATATAGCACAATCAACCGTAACCGCCTCTTTGGCAGACAACCCTATTTACGAGTCCTACGAGTCCTGTACGATCTCCGATATCATTACACGCAATTGCCCCTGCCGCAAGGGCTTTCAGCCTTAGCCTAACCCCTGTTCTTTGGCGAAGTACTTTCAATTTTTTTGTTGTTCGAATTCTAATTAAAACCCTAGCGCATTGTTGAGGTAGAGGCAAAGTAGGATCGAAATGCTTATCACACTGCTCACCCGATCCCTGCCCCTGCAGTCCATCCGCAGTGTTGACACCGGGAATTAGGGAAACGCTGAGGAAATCCCTTCGAGTACATGCCTCACCGAGCCCTCCTGGATTGTCTAAATTTTAATCTCATTTGAAAAGTTTTTTCCAAAGTGCAAAAATTGAAATCAACAATGATGATAGACATTTATAAAGGGGTGACCTGAGCTGAATAGATTCAGTCGGGATTAAAACTTTTGAAATTCAATTATTTTTTAAAAATCTGTATCTTGAGCCTTTTTAAATTCAATAATAGAATTATAGTACAAGTATAATATAATATAATATTGCCCAGACACTTTAACGCATGAAAACTACTTCTGAACTGAGTCAATACATAAAATGAAGAAGAACCTTTTTTTAGTTCTATGAAATTTTAAAATAATAGTATTTTATTTATCAATAAGCCTACGAATATAATACTGGATAGGGCAGCAACCATTACTTCATTCGCCTTTTGCCGAATGACAATCGGAATGCCGAATAAGTGTTCGGAGATATTTGCGCGCATGTGAAAAAGCCTTCAGATTGGTGCTCAGGCATAAGAAATCCTCGTTCATTGAGAAACATATTAAATGTGCAGGGTTTCTTAAAACCATTAAAGGTAAAACTCTTCAGCTTCATGGCTTAAGTCGGCAGTGACCCGTAGAAGCTGCAGCTTTAAATCTAAAAAGCTGATTCAGTCCCTCATTGTGCAAAGCAAATTAAACAAGAAAGGAAAGGATATACCCTTGCAGAATATTTTGTAAATTATATTCTACAAAATTGTTCATATGATGCATTTTTAATACTCATAAAATATCCCAAATTCCTAACTTTAAAAACACCAAAGTTATGGCAAAGTTATAGGATTTAGTCCTTATAGTATAAGGACCTTATGCAATTTCATAGGTCGGATTGATTGGCCAAACATAAAACCCATAGAAAATCCAAATTTCCTAACTTTACAAACACCAAAGTTATGGCATTTCCGAACAATCAGTTACATGACGGCTATATGATATAGTCGGCCGATCTTTATGAAATTTGGTAGGTCGTACTGATTGGCCAAAAATAAAATTCATAGAAAATCCCCATTTCCTAACAGCAATAGGATATGCAATATTAAGACTAAAGAGTTCGAAACGAAAAAAAATAAAAATAAAAGTGATACGCCAGGTATCAAGTGGTGTTTTTATACCCTTTCAGAGGGTATTATAATTTCAGTCAAAAGTTTGCCACCCAGTGAAGGATACATTTCCGACCCTATAAGTATATATATTCTTGATCAGCATCACCAGGAGAGTCTTTCTAGCCATGTCCGTTTGTCCGTCCGTCCGTTTCTACGCAAACCAGTCCCTCAGTTTTAAAGCTATCTGCTTGAAATTCTTCCTAAAGCTGTCTTTCTATTGCAGGTACTATATAAGTCGGAACGAGCCGGATCGGGCGACTATATCATATAGCTCCCATAGGAACAATCGGAAAAAACAATTCAAAAAAATTATATGTTTGTTGTTTTTAATTTTTTTAGTTGTTTTTTGGGATTTGGTAATATCTAAATATTATGGAATTACGGTTTTAATTAAATTAAAATCGGTCAACAATATCATATAGCGGCCATAGAAACGATACCCAAATGCAGCGTAAAATCGACATTGTTAATATAGGTATATAAATATAATATTTTGAATATATATATATATATTTATAATATAGGCATATAAATCGAAATGTAGTCATTTTGTAATAACTGCAAGGGTATATAAGCTTCGGATTGCCGAAGTTTGCTTCCTTTCTTGTTACTTTTAAAATATGTTCTACTGACTAAACTTAAAAAGCTTTCCGAAATAAAACACTCATAAATATAAGAGATTTTTGGCCTTTTTTATTAGCTGCTCCAGTTAAATCGAATTTAACTTCGTTAAATCATCATTACTTGCAGCTCGGCAAATTGTAAAGATTCTTTGCTACTGCTCTCAACGATCATACCACTAAAAGATCTCAGCTCGGAAAACTGCCACTTGTGGACAGCTTGCATCCCCAGTTTGTGGCCCATTTTTCGTGAAGTTTGGGATGTGCCCACGGCGACAACAGCCTGTGGTCTTTCAATCTGCATCTCCTCAGGGAGTTGGGTAAACAGCTCTGGTGGTAGCTTCCCCTGGGACATGAGCCCCGCTGAATAGATGGAATGCTGGCACAAAATGCTGGCCAGGCCCCGACTTCTAAAATTTGACAAAGTGCCCAAATATTCCACCTCCATGGTACTGTCCACCTGATATTGCTCATTGATATCGAAGCTCGAATCGACAGCATCCCACAACTGGACATATTTGATCATGCTTGGGCTTTTGATCTGGGCGCTAACATCATAATAAGAGCTCTTTCTCTTCACATTCTGTTTGAGTGTGCTAGGCGTTAATAAAAAACTTAGAAATTAGGGCATCAAATACCTACAAATATGATATTGGCGATGGCGGCCACAACTGTCCCACTTTCTACATGTCGTATGGCGAAAGATATTCCCAAGGATAGGATGTGCCTAATCAACTTACGAAGCTCGTCTATGGCCAATTGCGACTCCTTCAAATTAGTGATCAGGCATCCCAACTCATCGTTCACCGAAACATTGACCAGCAACTGCAGAGAGCATATGTATGTATAATCCCAAAAGTACAACCATTTTCTAATACCCACCTCTTCCACTTCATCAAAAAATTTTGGAGTCACGCGCAGAATCTGAAACTCGCCATCCAAAATACTGGTGCAGTCCTTCATTGTCAAATAACCTAAGACCAATGAAAACTATAATAATTATTTTATAATACAAGTTTACCTTCAATATAGTATTATAATAAATTAGCAAGTTTATCATTAAATTTTTCCGAAAAATTATTTAATCAGATAACAAATTTTTTGAAAGTCAAAATCTATTTACTTTACCTTACAGCTTTGCAGTCCCAATAAAAAAAAAATACGAAAATAACAAGTCTGATTCCAATCAATTCATCTTATTATTCTATGAAATTATAATTACACAGTTTTCTGGCATTGCAAATATATTTTTTACATATTGCATAGGGTATTATAATTTCAGTCAAAAGTTTAGATAAGGTACATATTCTTGATCAGCATCAACAGGTGAGTCGATCTAGCCATGTCCGTCCATCTGTCCCTTTCTACGCAAACTAGTCCCTCAGGTTTAAAGCTATTTGGATCTTTCTGTTGCAGGTAGTACAAAAGTCGGAACGGGGCGGATCAGCCTAAGTATGAGTAATTTATTTAAATGCTGTCAAACTTGTTTGGCAGGAAAAAACATGTTTTTGCACGTTGGAGAATATAGAACTAAAAGTGAAGCAGGCAAAAACGGTAATGAAGTTCTAGTGGTAAGATAAATTCAAAATTTCTTTTTACTACATTTCAAGATCATTTTTAAAATTAACCAATTTTTACAGTAACCTTAAGCTTTCCAAATGCAGTAAACAAATATTTATAGCGTTGAAATTTCCAAAATGTAAATTTAAAAACAACCTTTAAATTTTTATTTGACTGTGTACTTCTATTCAATTTTTGAATTACCGTTCACAACCTTTTCTCTGATTTTACCTTCACCAATATAAATTTATCTGACAGAGTTAGTGTGACCGGATACCGATAACTATAACCATCGATAAGAAGCAACGAAGTCTGTCACAACACATTTAGGTAAACGGCAGCCTTATATCATATGGCGTCGGTGGTGTAATGGTTAGCATAGTTGCCTTCCAAGCAGTTGACCCGGGTTCGATTCCCGGCCGACGCACATTTAAGTTTTTTGTTTCAATTGACTTAACTTTTTTTTTCTTTAAAGTTTATATATAACATGTTCGCAGAATTTGTGCAGAGGATTTATGATCTCGCTAAAGCGTTTGCCTTTGTACTCAAATTCCGAATATAAAACCGAGTTCAGCACTTTGAAGTTGGTGGCTTTGCCCACCTTCTGGGAAAAGCTTGAGGTCCAGATTGCGGTGACAGCTGCCGGGCGTTTGAAACGTAGCTTTTCGTCAATCTCCTCCAGGCCCTTGCCCTCAGCCAATTCCTGAGTGAGCTGTATGGTGAACTGGGACAATGAGCGCCCCAGTCCCAATCGCTCGTGGCTCGGCAAAGTGGCCAGAAACATCAGTTCACAGAAGCAATCCATCTTGTACATGGCAGACACATCGATTTTTTCATCCACTTCGATCATAAAGTCCATTAGACGCCTGGCCTGAGGACTTTTGGCTCTCTCATTGCGGAATTTTAGAAAGAAGTGATCATCGCCAGGTGGTGGTGTGAACTATGTACATACATATGTAAATGATTTCAATTATTATTAGACTAATATTGTATTTCATTAAAATCAAATGAACTACCTTACCTGAATTTTATTAAAGGACACCGATACCACGCGGCCGGTTTCCACTTCTTTCACCAGCAAAGATACTCCATCCAGAGCGGTTATTCTGCACAACTCTCGCAGTTCCAAACGGGCTTGTTTATTTTCTGGCAAATTAATTTCGCAGGCAATGCATACCGATTCATTAAGAAAGAATGAGCTGTCGAGAACCTACAAAATAAATGAATATAAGAAATGCTTTTAAGGCAGGTCAAATTCTTAGAAGCGAACTAAGCTAAACATTACTTTTGAACATCAGTTCCAAGAAACAATCCAAATTAGACATGGAAAAGTTCTTATTGCAAAATTTCAGAAAGAATAATTTTGTTGGAAATTGAATTCCGTTGAATAATCGCATTTGTATTATTCTGCACAATACACGAAGTTGAGGCGGAATAGCTTAAATAACCTATCCAAAACTTAAAAAATTAAAATTGAAAAAAAAAAAATGTGGCAAAAAACCAAATGCGTCGGCCGGGAATCGAACCCGGGTCAACTGCTTGGAAGGCAACTATGCTAACCATTACACCACCGACGCCACGTTCGAATCGAAGCACGGCAATACTTTTGTAGTGCTAATTGACGTTCCCTTAATCGCAATGACAATGAACTTAAAGATTAATTCTTGATCGTTTCTTAACTCACATCTAGAGCCTCTTCCAGATAGGATTTGGTGACACTGCGCACTTCAAATTTGCCTGAAGAATAAGGAATTTAAATAATTCAACTAATAAGCATTCAAAATTGGTTAATTGAATTTGTTTTCATGCAAATCACCCACCATCGTGTAACTTTCCCCAAAGTCTTCCATTTTCCACTCGCATTTTAGTTTTCTTATCGGTTAGCTCACCACAAAATATATAATCTACCGCGTCTAGTGTCGGTCTCTTACTGAGCGATACCGGTTTACGACTAGGCAACATTTTTTTGAGGCGGGAGCTTTGGGCCCCGAACATTTAGAAATTGTTGACCTAATCTAATCGTTTAGGCACGCGAGACTTTTAGACTATATGGATTAAAAGTCCCAATAAAGAAATCTAACTAAATAGCCCACTTTAAAGTAATCTTAGATAAAGGTATGCAACGCCCATTTAATGTGTTGTATATTTTTTTTTTCATGTAACACTATACGGTAAATTAATAGATAGGGAACCCTCCATATATTGCATCGATAAGATCTGTGATATGACTTCAACTGAGAACCTGAGGATTTTTCATGTAAAAATTTAAGGCTTTGTTCGAGTGGGGTACGAAAATTGATAAAACTATGAAACTCCAAGCCATTCTTGTCCGCTGATTCCAAGATCATGTGAAAGCAACATTCTTCATATAAATGTATTTAAATAATTATCGATTCGCTAGTTTGATTTTAAGAAAGAAATCTCTTCAAACTTGATTTGAGGATCAATATTAACCATGGCTTCCTTGATTTTTCTCCGAGCATCGGATACGTTTTTATGCCTTCGATTTTTATAGGTCCGAAATGCCAGTCTAATTTCAGTTATGTAGTCGTCTCTAAAATATCCTTCCCCCTTTTGAACATCTGCAATGTGAAAAAGTGTTTAAAAAAGAAAAGTAATGAGGTCATAAGGATTTACCAAATAAGGCGTTGTTGAAATTTTCAAACTTCTTTAGTGGTATCTTATTGTGTATTCCATCAAAATTGAAATCAACTAAAAAGTCAATCGCGAGTATAAGATGAAACTGTTTTTTAAGCCCACCAGGACGTGGTTTTCCGCCGGGCTTAAGAATATCCCTCATGTTTTGCTTCTGGAAATACGGCATAATGTTATTCAGGTTATCCCAACTCATGGTAGCATTCAACTCGTACATATAAGGATAATTTTATAGGATCATTCATTTCCTCCTCTATCGCCTCCATTTGTTCTAGTTCTGTCAAAGGAAATGCTTGAGGTAACCAGTCCTCAGATTGAGCGCCCATCATCATTTTTTTTATGTTATTTACGGAAAGTATTGGGAATCCCAAGGAATCAGTTTGCTCAGACGTCAGTTGGCTAAGTAAGTTGACGATTAAAAAAATTCACAGTAATAGGTTTGGGACACTTTTCAAGTTACCGCAACACGACCAGCATTTTTCTTTGATTGTGGAGAACCATGTCCATTTTATCATTTAAGGTCTTAATTTTTTCTTCAGTACTGGGCTTGGAAAACTCATTTTTGATTTCCTTATAGGGTATCTTTTTCAGGGTTAAGTCTTTGTCTGCGGCCCTTCGCTTCATATTTATGACAATATCACTCCTATGGAAACATTACTTGTTACTTCATTAGTGAAAACTGCACATCGTACTTCGGTGCCGACGCAACCCCAGTAACTGGAGAATCATTTAAATAACTGTACTCTATAAGTGCGTATGCTAAAGATCATATTTATATTTTTTTAAGTTTTTAAGAATATTTAGGATAACAGCGGCAGTGTGACCGTTTTTTGAACGGCTTAGTTGACCAAAAGTTCTGCAAAAAAAATATGAGGGGGACTCCTAAAACATTTACTTTTATAAGAGTTAAGTTATTTAAGCCTAGTATCCAGATCGAAAAACGAGTATGCTAGCGTAAAAACTTTAATCTTTCCAGTGTGACCAAAATTTCGAGAGTTCATCGGATTTAAGCGTGCTACGGTCGTACTGACAATCAGCTGGGTTTGTTGACAAGCAGTTAAAATTCAAATATCGTATTTGCGGGAAAGAGCCTTTAAAAGATATTATCAAATACCTTGGCAAGACAAGTCTGCCGCTGTACAAAGAAGTTAAAAAACAATACAATTTAAATTTAACAGTTGTTTTTTTTTTAATTTTATGATAATTATTTGCTAATTTAAAGTTCATAGCTGCACTTTTATTGTGTTTTTTCGTACATTCTGGACCTAAAAAACATTTTGCTCTGACAAGAGGCACCCCAGATAGTATTAATGTTATTTTGTCCTCACATGTAAACACCCGCAATCGACTTTTGTGAGTTTTTTGAGTTTTTCCCTCCATTTCTTATAATGTTCAGTGAGAAGCGCACGCCAAAAGATTAAATTTTTTAATCTTTCCGCTAGGGTTCACCCAAAGTTCATTTCCGCAGACTGGCAACGCTATGCAATTTTCTGGTATTTTTTTCGTCGATCAGGAGACCGAAGTGAAAAAAAGGCCCGACGAAAAGTGAACGCCAGCTGTTTGCCTCTCGCTCTCTCTCATGACTGGCGTACGGTTTACGTCGAAGTGGATACTAGGCTTTAAAACAAATTCTTATTAAAAAATAAAGTATCGTCATAATTTAATTTATTGAAGAGGGAAATCGATCTTTTAATTGTATAAAAACTTACCAAATTTACTTTTTAACAGGGGTGGGAAGTTCATATTATATTAAAAAATAAATTGATACGTAACGGTTTGGTATATATAAAAATATTGATAGCTGAAAAAATTCAAATTTGTTTTTAGAATACCCCTAGTAAGTAAAAAATATATGTGGAGTTGCCAGACTGACGGACACTTTTCGCGCTGTTCACAGCACTGCCTGATCAGCTGTTTGATTTTTTTAGAATAAAAAAGGAGATTTTGTTATTGTTGCAAGCGAATCGAACAAGTTTACAAAAAAAATCTTATAAAAGAGCTTTAAGACAAAAGTTAATGAAAGCTGTGATCGAAGTCTAACTTAACCGCGTTGCCGGGGCAACCTTGGCCCAAACAAAAGAAATCGGAAAAACAAAGTTCAAAAGTTCTCATCGTTTCATTAGCAAAATGTTTTTACTAGACAGAATACTGATGCCCTTTATATTTAGCTATATAAGACCGTTCATTAAGTGGTTCCTGCACGCCTTTACCAGACTCTCGGAACTTCAGAGGATTTGCTATGGTGCAGTCGATGGTGCCAGTCGAACCAGACAGGTTGAAAGATCGCTGACTCTGTCCAAGAGACCAAAAATTAGGCGGCTTGTACTTGACCTTGATGAGGCAGCGCCATATGTGAACAACGCGGAGCTGCTCGAGTTCGGTAGGCGTCACACAATTGTCTTTGACCGACTCTACATTATTAAATAAAATTTTATTTGCATTACTCATATTGGGTATTTTATCGTAAGCTTATTTTTAACTAATACTCAAACGATATGTGGAAATTAAATATTTTAGTCTCGGTCCATTCAAATAATTATAATTATAATATTTATAATTAAAGGACTGACAACTATTTTAGCATTCTGACTTCTATATTTTTGTAAAAATTGGTATACATGTTACTCCTAAGTTTTATTATACAAAAATAATTATGTTTTGAAGAGTTTCAATTTTTTAAACAGAAATTTTAAAATCCTTTTAATATTTTTCCTTTAGGTAATTAGATTTCCATATATGCACTCGTACTTGAATTCTTAGATGTCCGTTTATAAAGTATATAAAATAACAATCAAAAATTACATCAATTATTACATTTTTAATACGTGTACTTTCAGCTCCTCGTGCTGCGCGCATTGTGATGCAAGCGAAACGCATCAAGAGCAATGTGCATCCGGACTTCGCCCGGCTCTTTGGCACCTGTGTGACCAGCATTTGGGGCTATCGTCGGCTTATGCACCAGGTGGAGCAGCTGAGGGCTGAACGTTACGACTCAGATAACATGGATCACGAACAAAAGTTGCTGCGGTTATGGCAGCTTCTGATGCCGGAGGCTCCTCTTACCGGACGCGTGAGCAAACAGTGGCAAGACATTGGCTTCCAGGGCGACGATCCAAAAACAGATTTTCGGGGAATGGGTATGCTCGGCCTGGAGAACTTGCTGTATTTCGCCACCGCCTATAACGACGCCGCCAAGCACGTACTCCTGCACTCGATGCATCCCACCCTGGGTTACACCTACGCCATTGTAGGGATAAATCTAACATCCATGGCATTTAATCTAGTTAAAACGGGCGCTGCCAAAACTCACTTCTATAATCTGGTGGTGCAGCACAGGCAGGACTTCAGTACAGTAGAGGATTTCCATAAACTGTACTGCTACCTGTTCTTCGAGTTTGACCGCTTTTGGATGGACAGCGACCCCCGCAATATAATGGACTTCCGCGAAATTTATCAGTCCTTTGAAATAACAAAACTGGAGGCCTTGCACAACGATAGCACTGTTTTTAAGACCAATTTGGTTGTAGAATCCGTGTAAATACACATAAATATTAATATAGAATGTGTTTGTGGTCTTTGATTCTTATTACCGAGGGGTATTGTTTTGAATTGTTTTTAAAGATAAGTAATTGAAGGTACTCAAGCTTTAGAATAAAAGCTTTTCTTTTTGTATAAATGCAGAGTTTTTTGCGTTTATTTGAGAGCCATATATAATGTATAATTTTTTATGTATTTATATATATATTTTAATGCAAGTATATAAATCGTTAAACTAAGCCTGGAATGTCACAATATAATACTTTTAAATCAAGTCAGAGAATAGAGTATATAATAATTTAAATATCACGCAAAAGCATACAAATTAAACAAAATAAAATTAATATGAGATTGCACAAGAAAATGGTTTGCAGACTATATCCTATTTGGTAATGCCATAAGAATGCTCAAGTCAAATCCCGAGGCTCAATAGAGCTTGCAAGCTAGTTTTTTGAGTATCCATATTGATAATTTTTGTTTGTCTAGCGATAGAACTTGACCTCCGCCTCGACACAGTCCTTTAAAAGTTCGTCCAGCTCGTCACTGGCGTGATCCTGCAGAGAGAAGTAGTTGTTTAGCTCGTCCACGCAGGACCTCTCCAGGCTGCGCAAGTGCTCCAAAGCCGCAGGCTTGCGCTGCGAATGGAGCTTGTGTAGCAGCGTCAAGTCCGCATCAGCCTGTACTTGGGTCAGCGGTGAGATCCTCGGCTTGGGAGCAAAAACGAACGGCTTGAACACAGACTCGGCGGCATTGGGCGTGCCGGTGAACCAATGGCACGAGATCCCCTTGACCGACAACACCGAGACGGAGGACGCCCGCGAGCTGCTCGCATTGCTGGCGGCTCGAAGCGTCTCGAACATATCATGCTGGGTATAAGTTCCATCTCCAGCTGGCTTGGGTCCACACCAATCCTCAGCCGGTGCATGGGCCTCGGCATCATGGGCAGCGGCAAAACTGGCCACTTCATCCAGTCCCTCGCTTGACTTGTTGACCACGGTGGTCACCGCCAAACCGCCTGAGGGCAGGCGCATGAAGCTGGCCTCCAACTTCTCGGCCGCCCAGACTTTTCCCGAGCAACTAACAAACCACGCAGCAGCGGCATCACAGGCGATGAAGTTTAGTTTGGAGTTGTCATGACCGTGGTTAGCCACCAAAGCTCCAATACGGTCTACAGCATCGTCCACGTCGTTGGCCAGAGCCAATGTCAAACTAAAAAAAATAGATTTCGTAAATTAAATATTTTACAAAGAGATATAAATAGTGCTGTCGCCTCATAGGAATCACAAAATAAACAAGAAAGAAAAGCTAACTACGGGCGGAGCCGAAGTTGATATACCCTTGATTGGCCAAAAAAAACCCATAGAAAATCCCAACTTCCTAACTTAAGAAACACCAAAGTTATGGCATTTTCGATCAATCAGTTATATGGCGACTATGGAATATAGTCGGCCGATCCCGGCCGTTCCGGTGCAAAGGAAAGAAAGGTATGTGCAAAGTTTCAATTCGATATCTTTAAAACTGAGAGACTAGTTTGCGTAGAAACAGACAGACGGACATGCTTATATCAACTCAGGACGCGATCCTGATCAAGAATATATATACTTTATAGGGTCGGAGATGTCTCCTTTATTTTACCCTTTGCAAGGGTACAAAGATATCTTCTAAATAGACCCTTGATTTCTGTAGAAATTTTATCTTAAAATTTCATCATCAAAATTTCCGAACATATAAAGTAAAGTATATAAACAATATATTATTGATTATGAACGAAACTTTCGGAAATAACTTATTAAAAATTAAAAAATTGGGCGGTCGTGAAACCCATAAAAAAAATTATTTTGCGAAAGGTGAATACAAAAATAAATTGTATTTATTCTGGATTATAGAAAATCTGTAATTCTCCAATTTAATGTGAAAGTGATTTTTCTGTATATGTAACTCTTTTGGTGTGACCAAATTGTTAGGATACATATGTACATATTTGAAAATTTTAAATATTCCAATAATTATGTATTTTGTCTGATACTGATACCCCAGAAGTATTTAAGTAAATGTGTACATCTTCTGAACTAGTATTTCCCAGGGACATCTAATATAAAACGTACCGCACAATATCCGTGCCCAGAAGGGTGTCGAAGTCCTTGGCCTCATCTTCACCTACCGCCCAGGTAAGGCCCACGGCCACGCCGCGTTCGTTGGCCCCAAAGTCTCCGCCCCAAAGGCCCGGCTGCGGTTTCTGCAAAATGACACGCACCGTCTCGCCGCTGTTCTCGGCTGATGCTCCACCGTCAGTCTAAAAAGTTTCGAGCGGTGAGTCATTCATCAAGCTCCATTTTTAGGAGTTCAGCCTTTACCTTCCCCTCCATCACTTCGCTGACATCATAGAAGCAAACCTCCGAAGCAACATTTACGTGTTTTTCGTCTTCTGCATTGCGACCAACGATTAGAGTTCCTTTGGCACAATTTTCGGGCAAAACAACAAAGCAGTCGCCGTTGGAGATCATTTTTTCCTGTTTTCTCGCGGAGAAAGATTTTCTTTAAAGAAATGCGTGGGAGTTGCAAAATTGATTTTTCCCACAGCTGTTTGGAAACGAGCGTTATTTAACACTGAACGATATATCACGAGATTAGTGATTGCACTTCAACACGTCTGGCAACGTCGGTCACGAATAATTTATTCAAAATTATTTACAAATTGTTGGATGTATTAAAAATCATATGACTTCAAGACCTCCGAAAAAATTGCAACCAAATAAAAATAGCACAGCGATCTTAATCAACAAGCTTGTGAGTATTTAAATAGCTCACCCGATAAATAATTCTGAATAAATATCTGAACGGTTGGTACAACTATCTGACTGAAGTGGTCTTCAATAGCTTCAACAAGAGGTAAGTTTGCATTTAAAAGTCGCGCCAGCTGCTTATGTGTGACCAAAATATGGTTAAGGCGTAAAATAATACCTTTTGTTAAATACATTTTTAATGTGCTTTGAAATTTTATACCTAAAAAAATAATACATAATACATATTTAGTCAGGAAAGTTTTTCAAAGGCGCGAACACATAAGTGGCGCGATTTGTCCATCTCTGAGAAATTTAGCCGTCTCTAAAAAAGTACCCATCGCTAAAAATTTACCCGTCCGTCTGTAACAGAGTTTTTTTATTTCGGCGTAAAAATGCTTCTAAATCGTTGTTTTTAGAGCTGAAATCATAAAACGTCTCGGATTGGGAGGCTTTTCGCAAAAATCGTGCAATTGGAATATCCGCGCAACCTGCAAAATCGTTTCACCAAAGCTGCATTTGTATACAGAGCAGGTGGTGTTGTCTCCCTCTCACGACCGCACTGCTCGTTCCTGATGTGCGAGCGAAACAACAACAAACAAGTTACAAGGTGTGTGCTGGTGTTGTTGTAGCTATAGTTGTAAATACTCGCGCACACTGTTGTTGTCGCGCTGGTGGATGGTGTTGTTCAGCGCCTTTTTCGAGTGTTGATTATTTTACTTGCGTGCGTTTGCTACTCGTGGGCGTCTGTTAAATCTGTTAAGCGAGGAAAAGTGCTGGGAAAAGCCTAAGAAAAAGCCAGAAAACGCATCGTAACGCTACGGTGCTGAAAATCGTTCTTTCAAAGTGAAAAATCGGGTAAAAAAGTCGAAAAATCAATATTCTGTGAGGGTGCTAGCGGCCAATAAGAAATCGCTACGTGAAAATATCAAGAAAGTCGAAAGAATTTCAAGTTTTTCGGTGGACCGCTCCCTGAAAAAATAGATATTTTCTGTTTTTGTTGTGCGTTGCTTGACCACTTTGACCGCGCGCTCATGTTTCCCCGCCGCGAAACTAGTTTTTATTTGTTGGCGATCTGCTGATGACGTTTTAAAGCCCTGCTGACCAGTGAAATTAAAGCAATTGCCTATAAAAATCAATAAATTCAAGCCACGGGTGTATACACACAATTTGATGGAAATTTAACCAGTGCTTTAAAAGTAGAACTGCGGAAACTGGGAGAAACCACCCTCCAGTCCCCAAAAACTCCCCCGAAGGATATATTAAATGGGGTATATGTATATACCCACCCGCATTCCACCCCCCAAAAACGCGCCACCTTTTCCGGCATTTCGTGTACATATGTACATGTAGCATCTCCCCGCGTGCGTGTGTATGTATGCGTCAGTGTGTGTATTGTGTTGAAAGTGCATTGCTCTTCATTACAAAAGCAACGTGCAGAGCGGCCTCGTTTCATGTGCTCCAGTGTGTGTGATTTTACACCGTTAAGTTAAGAGAACTCCAGCTATCTCGCAGTTGGCAACACGCTGGCTGCGTTTTCGGCAGTTGGCAACACGCTGACCCAATATCAGTACAATCCCCCTTTCCCCACATGTATGCGCATGCATGAATGGAACAGTGACAACACCCGCATGCCGTTATTATTATTATTGTTGTGGTTGTGAAATCTTAGCAGATGCCGCGACCCATATATTTGCTCTCACTCGCACAGTAGTAGCAAATTGGCCTTTCATTCAAGTCGGAGTAGGGCTGCATTTTCCTGTTTTATTTTTGGAAGCCCATTATTCAAGTTCAATGAACTAGCTAATGGAAAGCCACTTGTGATTGTGTATGTGCGTTTCCCAATTCGTGAAAGTAACAAGAATTTGTTATGACTTTCATAGGTGTTATAAATATTTGTTTATATTACTCGACCTAAATTCGCTTGGTTTATTAAACAGCGTCAATATTACCTTGACATTGAGAGATTGTGTATGTACGAGTGTTAATTTATTGCGAATGGAGCCCATGCGCCATCTCGCTTCCACTCACTGGGAAATCTAAGTTGTGTGTTATTGTGAATAAGCGAATGCGAATGACCTTGCCAATTGACACCTGCATCGGTTGCTGCTTATCATCGATAACGAAAAAGTCCCAAACCTCTATCTCAAGATCGATTACTCCTCTTGTGCCTATTTGTATACCTTATTTATACTAACGCGAGTTTTCTATCGATATCGGAGTTAACGCAGAACGACCGTTTACACTTTGGGTAACTTGACCTTTCGCGTACTCCCGTAGGAAAACCGCTGTTCTACGGTTGGATTTGTAAATGAAAAATGACGCAGTATTATTATTAATGGCAACGACTTTAATACTTTTATTTAGCCAAAATTTTCTTCAATAGATTATGTATACTTGAAAAGGTGGCCTTGACGAGTTGTTATACCCTTGTAGAGGGTATTATAATTTTTGTCAAAAGTGTGCAATGCAGTGAAGAAGATATCTTCGAACCTATAAACTACATATATTCTTGATCAGGATCGCGACCTGAGTTGATATAAGCATGTCTGTCTGTCTGTTTCTACGCGAACTAGTCTCTCAGTTTTAAAGATATCGAATTAAAACTTTGCACACACCCTTTTTTCCTTTGCACGCGTATATAAGTCGGAACGGCCGGGATCGGCCGTCTATATCTTATAGCTGGGATTTTTTAAGGGTTTTTTTTTTGGTCAATCAATCCGACCTACCAAATTTCATAAGGATCGGCCGACTATATCTTATAGCTACCATGTACAGTGGTGCTCATAGACTTAAGCCACCGCCACTACCAAAAACTGTTTTCTTAATAACTTTTTTGAGTATAATTATTTCGGCCTGAAATTTTTACATTTTGCAACACTGTTATTTAAGCAGCTGATCACATTAAAAAATGACAAGTAGGAATTAGGGGGTTCCCATTGCAAAGTACATCCAGTAAGACAAATGCTTGTCAGCTTTTCTGATTGTTTGTTGTTGTAATTGGTGATAGATTCACAATAGTGAACCGATAGGCCCCCATTCTAACCCTATTTAAAAAAATGTTGTTTTCCTCGTAACAGTGTTCCCAGATCAGGGGTTTTCCCCCTAGATTTAGGGGTTTTTTGACGTACTAGGGGGAATTTTAGGGGGGAGCAATTTTTAGGGGGAAAGTTTAGGGGTTTTTTTTTGGAAATTGTATTACCCAAATGTTTTGAAAAAAACACAAGAATATGTGATTTCGTAAATATGGCAAAAATATCAAAAAATAATGGTCACGAGTACAAGTGTTACCAGCTGATGCTGGCGGTTTCTGGGAACCACTTGATATACATAATAAAAAAACGATGCATGGACTGCTTGATTAAACTCACGGACGAATTGCAAGCACGATTTCCTAAGAACACAAAATGCCTTGAAAAAATATGTGTTTTTGCACCGAAAGCAGCATCCTTCTTCGAATAAGATTAACCTTACCAAACAATTGCAATAGCTTTGAACCATCCCCTCAAATGTATAAGCTATTCAATAGCGAGGAAGTGTACAAGACCAATTTCTCAAATGAAGTTCTCGAGGTGATCTCTTAAAATTCGATATCGTTTTCTTGTTTTATTGTATAAGTTCGAAATTAACTGATTTTTTTAATTTAGGGGGAAAACTGGATTTTTTAGGGGGAAATATCGCATGTTTGAGATTTTTTAGGGAGAAAGCAAAATTTTCATCTGGCAACACTGCCTCGTAACTCAAAAACGAAGTTCTCCACACTCCTAGAAATTTTCTTATCGAATTAGCTATCGGTTGCATTTGTGGGAGCTATAAAGCCTAGTACTCAGATCGACAAAATCCGTTCGTGAGCTATGAGAGAGAGTGAAAGCAAACAGCTGGCGACCACTTTTCGTCAGGACCTATTTTTACCCCGGTACTCAGATCGACGATAATAATAATAACTGAAGTGCATTACGTTGCCAATCTGCTGAAATGAACTTTTGTGAATGCTCGTCAGGAACTAGAAAACAGATAAAAAGATCTTTTGAAATGTCTGTTGTCATATTAGAGAGTTTCTTAGTGTAACCGACGAAATCAATTCCATCAAATGTGGACTTCTTCCTTTCTATTCATCAGTTCTTTCAAGCGAACTAATAGGCATACACGAAGCTATAAAGACTGCTTTACAAAATCCAAGCAAACATGCAATATGCAACAACCACCAGGCCCGATGAGTGGGGGGACTGCCGGATCATTTGTTCGAAAATTTAGATGTTAAGAAAAATTGAGAAAGAAAAATATAAATCAAAAAGTCCGACTAAACTCATTTACACTTCTGTGTAATTCAAATAAGAATCGAAAAAGGGCCCTTGCCCCGGGGCCCGGTGTGACTCTCGACGGCCCTGACAACCACTCCCAGTTCCCTACAATCATAAGAAACCATTTCCCAAAAATTAAACACACCAGCACAAAAGACAATGAGAATGCTGAATGTACACGAAAAACAATAACAATTACGACATTGTACATTACCTCAAAAAAATATAAAAAATCAAAACAAACCGACCTGAATAACTATACCTCCTGGTATAAAAAATTCGTTAAAAATTCTTCTTCGAATTTTTCGAAATCAAACACCAATCATATCAGGAAAACTAAAATAATTAAATAATTATTAAACCGAATTCGACTATGACACACCTCACTTACCAACTCTCATTACATTGACAGATCACTCCCAAACACTTGCTCACATTGCAACAACCCACAATTAAGCATCGACCACATTAATCTCCTGCCCTTTCTCTTTTAACATAGAGCAACAACTTTCCTTTTCAACAACCCATCCAACAGCAAAACTTTTCCCATTCCCTTAAAATAAATTATTACTGTCATCCCAGAAGGGCGGAAGGCCATAGTTTTTAATGCTCTATATAGAACTAGTTAGTTTAAAGTTGTATACCTTAAGCTAGCTTTATATAAATAAATAAAATAAAAAATATTAAAATATTCTGTTATTTGTTTACCCTTGCAGAGGGTATTATAACTTTGGTCAAAAGTGTGCAACGCAGTGAAGGAGACATCTCCGACCCTATAAAGTATATATGTATGTATATTCTTGATCAGGATCACCTCCTGAGTTGATATAAGCATGTCCGTCTGTCCGTCTGTCTGTTTCTACGCGAACTAGTCTCTCAGTTTTAAAGATATCGAATTGAATCTTTGCACTCACCCTTCTTTCCTTTGCACGCAGAATATAAGTCGGAACGGCCGGGATCGGCCGACTATATCCTATAACTGCCATATAACTGAACGATCGGAAATGCCATAACTTTGGTCTTTGTAACGTTAGGAAGTTGGGATTTTGTATGGGTTTTATATTTGATCAATCATTCCGATCTACCACATTTCATATAACTGATTGATCGGAAATGCCATAACTTTGGTGTTTTCAAAGTTAGGAATAAGAATATAATTTACAGAATATTCTGCAAGGGTATATCAACTTCGGCTCCGCCCGAAGTTAGCTTTCCTTTCTTGTTATTTATTTCATGGTTATAATTTGAAATCTTTTTGTATTTTCAGTTCTAACAAAATTCCGTCTACCTTTAATGCAAAAGTGGAGCTAGACTCCAGCAAAGACGACACCATTCACTCCGCAAGCTTGAATAAGAAACTGGTCAAAATTAAAAAGTTTAAGTTGGACGATATGAAGGAGATGGTGGGCGGCTGTTGCGTTTGTTCGGACGAGCGGGGGTGGCCGGAGAACCCGCTCGTCTATTGTGACGGCCAAAATTGTACGGTGGCAGTGCACCAGGCATGTTACGGCATTGTGACGGTGCCCACGGGACCATGGTACTGCCGAAAGTGCGAGTCCCAGGAGCGAACCTCGCGGGTGCGTTGCGAGCTGTGTCCCTCCCGAGATGGAGCCCTCAAGAAGACAGATAACAGCGGATGGGCGCATGTAGTCTGCGCCCTGTATATCCCAGAGGTGCGGTTTGGGAATGTTACCACCATGGAGCCTATTATATTGTCGTTAATTCCGCCGGAGCGGTATTCAAAGAGTGAGTGACACTTTCAAATAAATAAATAGTAAAAAAGTGCTACTATAGGCGCAAAAAATAAAATAAAAATAAGACTGAAATTTTAATTAACAGAATATTTAAATTAAGAAAAAGCTGTCTTAACTTGCACACAAATTTACATAATAACATAAACATAAACTTTTGAGAAATATTAAAGTCTTAATTTACATTGTACATTACATTATTTACTTTATTAATTTTTATTTTTTTTTTAATTTAAAATTATTTTAAATTAAAAGAGACAATATTTATTTATTAGATTAGAGTACCTTTGAAATGGATTAAAAAATAACCGTATTAATATTATTATTTACGTTTCCCAAACTTTTCTAACCTGCATTGCTTCTTTTACAGCTTGCTATATTTGCCAGGAGATTGGCAAACCGAATCGTGCCAATGTCGGCGCCTGTATGCAGTGCAACAAATCGAACTGCAAACAGCAGTTTCACGTTACCTGCGCCCAGAGCCTTGGTTTGCTTTGCGAGGAGGCGGGCAACTATCTAGATAATGTTAAATACTGCGGGTACTGCCAGCACCATTACAGCAAACTGGTGCGTATGTGAGGGATAGCATTCATGATTTTTCCGTTCAAATTCTTGATACTTTGCAGAAAAAGGGCGGCAACGTCAAAACCATACCGCCATATAAACCCATTCAACATGACACCTCTTCCGATTCATGTTCATCGCCCGAGAAGGAGATCGATTCCACAATGAACTCCGCGGCAACCTCGGCCACGAGCATTAAGATCACCAGCACCAGTGTCAGTGGCAGTGGCAGCAGCACTGCTTTGAATGCCAGCTCCAGTGTGGGAATTACCGGGGGAAGCGGAAGCATAAGTGGGGTCTCCTCGTCCTCCAAGCAGCGCAAGAGCAATGCGTCCGGGAAATCGTCAAGCAGCAGTAGTAGCAGCTCATCATCCTCGATGGGAGTGGCGGCCAACCCGTCTTCAAGTTCTGCAGGCAGTGCTAGTCATATACCACCAGGGGGAAGTTTACTACCAGGCAGTAGTAACACCAGCAATATTAACAGTAATTTAAGCAATAACCTGCCAGGTGGCAGCAGTGCTGGAATCGTGGCTGGTGGAAACTCCAGCGCTGGAAATTTACCAGCATCTAGCAGTGGCGTAACTCAATCGACGGCCAGTCAAACGTCGGCAGCAGCAGTTACCACAAAATCATCAGCCAGCAGCTCGAGCAGTGGTAGTAGCAGCTACAAGGATAAACATAGCAAAAACTTAAGCAAATCTACCTCTAGTAAGGACAAGGATGGAAAAGATAACGCTAGTAATTCAGCGAACAATAGTTTCTCGAATTCATCAGCCTCATCAACGTCTTCCAATTCCCTGTCGTCACGAGAGAAATCATCATCGAAGCTTTCAAAAAGCAAAGACTCCAATCAAGTACCAAGTGCAACTAGCAGCACGACTGCAACCAGCAGTATCAATACCCAGCCCATTTCGTCCACCTCAACAGCTAGCAGTGGATTGGGAGGAACCGGAACACATGTGAGCAGTTCAGCTGCTAGTATCATTAACTCGAATGCATCCACGACTACGACCAATGAGCACTCGAATCATGCCCATAATCTTAGCACAAATAGTGTAGGTTGTGGAAGCACAGCCGGAAAGCAGCAATCGGCCAGCAATCTGAGCAATTCACATCTGACCACGAGTAGTTCGAGTTTTGGATCTGAGTTAAGATCAGGAAGCACCACATCAAGCTTAGCTTTGAACGATTCCTCTGGATTCGGAAGTAATTCAAATTCAGAAAGGGAGAATTCGGCAGGCGCTGGTTCGTCTGCCAGCAGTCTCACCGGAACGGTGGGTTCGGGCTTAGGCGGCGTATCCTCTAGTGCAGCCACTAATCTGAGCACCAATAAGGGAGGCTCTTCGTCATCAGCGGCGAGCAATCCCACATCTACAAACCTCTCCTCGGGCAGCTCCTCAAATTCAGCTTCAAAAAAACGAAAGGCAGACTCTGCCAAGTCTAGCGGTTCCGTTTCCATCGCTACATCCGCTCTGGACGATAATAATAGGTGGGGAACGAGAGTCGCGAAGCAAAGGTCTTTTACACTTTTACTTTTATTCAAATTTAATACTTTAACATGGTTTGTTAATTTAGACTTATTTCAAAATAAATAATGGGCTATTATTAAAACTTAATCATTTTTTTTTGAATATGTAACTAGCTATTATTTTTTCAATTAATAACAAATTAAATATTTAATAATTTTAAATATTAATGCCAAAGTATTTTCTATCATTCCTCAGATTAGATAGAAGTTTTGATTTATATATATGGATAAATATTTAAAGGAAAAAACTTTAATATACAAAATCCTTGTCTTCAATAATTAAATCCGAAATATTCAAATATGGCAACCAAGTTATAAGTTTAAGAAAATACATTTGCTTGATTAATGAAACTGGTCTGTTAAAGAACTACAAGTACTCTGTCGGAAATTTATGACTAATGGTTAATATATTACTCCCAGTTCCGGGCTCCAAAGGTTCATATTAAAAATTGGCTTTAATTATTAATATAACATATTTATTTTTAATGGTAAAAAAAACTATTTTACATAAAAAAAAAACCAAAATATATTATTAATAACATTTTGTATTTTCATATGCAGCTTGATATCCAGATACGATATTAAAGATGTTCATGTAGCACTGACACCGCTAACAGACTTTGAGAAGGAAATAGAGAAGAGCTCCAAGAGGGTAAGTTCGATTACACATTTATTATCTTTTATTAAATAGACTCAAAAGCCATTTAAATACCGTACCGAAGGAGAAGTCATATTTTTGAAAAGCTTTTTGACTCTTGAGACATGTTCATCATCTCTTGAGATACATATATGCCTCTCTATTTGAATACAATGTTGCCGTTTAATTGATGGTTCCTATAATCTTTTACACTTGTATACAGCATGTCATAAAGTTGTTGTTGTCGGAACTAACTTAAAGAGCAGGACAGAGGGAATATTAAGTAGTTTAGCACAACTATATTTGTTTCACTCGTCAAAAGTTTTGAACGCAGGCGCTTTGCCAATTATTTGTATCATATTTATAAGTGGAAAATGCAATTACACATGCATGTAAAAATGTTTAAAGAAAATCTGTCGAAAGCGCAAGGTGCGCGTTAATTATACAAAAGTGTTGCACACAATGTTAAAAGAATTCAGATGCTACCTCTTGACTGTGAGGTTTCTGGATTTATAAATTTAAAAAAAAAATTTTTTTTAACAATATAATACATATGTTTTTGTGGAAGTTAAATTTTTTTGTAGCATAATCAAAAATATTAATTTTTCCATCGTTTCAATGGCTATATGGTGTAGTATTTCGACGCTTGTAGAATTAAATTACTTTTTCTTATTCGTAAAACGCTACCTCTTGACTGTAAGGTTTCTGGATTTATAAATTTAAAAAAAAAATTTTAAACACTATAATACATATATTTATTAAAGTGAAAGTTCAATTTTTTTTATCAAATAGTTTAATTTTTCCATCGTTTTTATGTCTATATGGTATAGTATTTCGACATTTCATAAATTAAATTACTCTTTCTTAATCTTAAAAAATAAATAACGTATATTAGAAAGTTATGTAATAGAAAAATATTAATTTTAGTATATTTCCCATCAGCTAGATATAGTGGTACAAACACAAATTGAAAAATTAAATAAATTAAACTGTATTTCTGAAATCGTACAAAAAATACTAAGAGTATTTGCGTAAAAGCTAAAAAAGCCACAAAATGTAAATTTTTATACCCTTGCAGAGGGTATTATAATTTTGGTCAAAAGTGTGCAACGCAGTGAAGGAGACATCTCCGACCCTACAAAGAATGTATATTCTTGATCAGGATCACCTCCTGAGTTGATATAAGCATGTCCGTCTGTCTGTTTCTACGCAAACTAGATATCGAATAGAAACTTTGCACACATATGCCATAACTTTGGAGTTTGTAAAGTTAGGAAGCTGGGATTTTATATGGGTCTTATATTTGGCCAATCAATCCGACATACCAAATGTCATAAGGATCGACCGACTATATCCTATAGCTGCCAAATAACTGAACGATTGGAAATGGTAACTGGTGTTTTTAAAGTTAGGAAGTTGGGATTTTTTATGAGTATTAAGAATGCATCATATGAATAATTTTGGAGAATATAATATTCGTCCGACCCATTTGATTTATATATATTAAAATCACTGAATATATTTATTTTATAAATTAGTAAGTAAGTATTATTATAGGGTATGACACTACATTTTCGATTTCATTTACTGACGGATTTATTTGAGGTCAGACGGACACAATTTTATATATGGTCTATTTAATAAATGGTTTTTAAACGATAAGTTCAAACTTTATAGATAAAATAGGTTTATCCCACTGAATTTAATGATATATATCTATAGAGCTAGAAATTTAAGCTTAAGCATATATATATATATATATATGTATATAGTGATATAAAGGCAGTGCAAGTCTTTTAAAGATATGGTAGGGACAAGTTTTATATAGTATACGGACGACACAAATCTAAATCAAGGCATTGTTTTACAAATTGTTAGAAAATGAATGTTTAATTATGACGTCATTGCAAAAAGAAAAAACTGTTGGCGTTAACGGCGACCGGCGTGTTACTGGCTATAGCAATCTATATATTCTGGACACTGTAGTTCGGCAGATCGAGCCACCTTAAAGCCGATCGTTGGTCACGCCATCTCCTGGTGACATATTTTTTTTTGGAAATTGGTTAGTCGAGTAAGGGATATTCGTTTGTATTGAAAATGGTAGACACTTAAACGTAGTAATTGAAAAATACTTTTGCTTCCTTTTTCAAGGGTATGTTATTTTTATTTTTCATATTTTTAATTATTTGATTTACTTTATTTTCAAAAACATTAAATATTGTTCACCTACTGAATGAAAACAATCTCTTTATGTACCCCTGAAACATTTTGAAAAAGTCGATAACTTATTTTTGACAGACTTTAGCGTTTAAAAAAAATATACCAAGAAATATAATAAATATATTATAGTTTTTGCAAAACATAATTTATATAAAACGACGTTTTTCGAGACTGCCGGACACAAACATAACCTGAACAAGTCTTTACGTAGAATTTATTTTTATAATTTGAACTGTGTTCTTCAATTTTACGAGTGTTGATAAATAAATGTATTTTTAATATACTGTACAGATTTTTAGATTTTCTCGTGGTTTGTGTCCCCGGCCCTTAACTAACTTTACTCCTAAAAGTGCGCCTTTTTTTGTAAGGTACTTAGCTTTTCCTCCCTAATGGAAATGTAAATATTTTCCACTAAAACATTGGTTCCTTACAAGGGTATTTATTGGTCGAATTGGTCTCTCGGCTTGTCTGATTCTATTTTTCGGATGTGATTGATGCCCAATGATGTACTCATGCCCCATTAATTTCCTTTTGAACCAAAAATGCATGGTAAAATATTATCGAATTTTAATTAAATGCAAATGCGCATGTTAATTTATTGATGTTGTTGAAATGCCGATGGACCGTAAGACAGACAGGCTGTGACTTTGAACAAGACAGTTGAACCATGTTGTCGATCCAATGAAACAGCAACATCAATTTTTTTCGCCTTGTCATGAGCACCTTCAACTGGAATATTCTGCTAGAAAATATTAATCTATACAATTTGGAAAAGCAAATGTTATATATTCAGGCATAGACGTGAGAGCAGATATTTTGTTTTTTGGTTGGGTTTTGATGTTCGGGTCCCTAATGTATTTTTTGTTGGCGCTAATGGTTTTGTTGTTGTGATATAGCCGCCCATATAGTCATACCTTTCGTTTGTCTCTGCCGACTTCGTCGCCTTCGTGCCGTGTGCAGGCAAAGACTCAAAGCGCTTGACAAATTTTTCAGCGCGATCAGTCGAAAATCGTTGTTAATCGAAGCTAAACTAAAATTAAGGATATTTCTTCTGCGAATCTTATTATTACGAACGAAAAGTATATATTTGTTAAAGAAAAAATTTTAAATCATCGATCGCACATAATCCTATAATTTAATCACTTAGTGCTGTGCCTTTTAAAAAATATCGGTTAAAGTTTAATAGGCTGAGACAATACCATTTTGCCAAGCGTCTGTTTAAATTTAGAACTCGTGTGCAATATGGACCATAATTTGACCCAGAAATGAGAGGAATGTTTGGGCTCCACAGAGGAAGCATTTTTCCCACCACTATTATTTTTAGATTCGGTTTTTTGTATATGGAAAAACTGCCCGGAGATTTTTAACTCAATGAAACGAGAATTTTCTGTGAGGAGTTTCTTTTTTTACCGCGGTACCGTGGAAAGGATAAATCGAATTCTAATAGAAATCCAATCTGGTTAATATTAGAGTGATAATATTCAGTAAAATAGTACTTAATTTGGAAATAAGAAAATTAGTTTTTCATTGATTTCCTGGGAATAAATCTCAAAATTGTATAACCAAAAATAAAATAAGTTATTCTTATAACGTATAACTTCAATGAGGTTAAAGTGTTTTTAAAAGTAAAATTTATTTTAAACGGTTAAATCAATTAATTTTATGTGTTTCGCTTAAAGTATTAAATGCAGTCGGGACTATAAATGATTTCCCAGATATCTGATTCATTAATGAGGTACCAAACAATAACGCACCGCAAACTTTTTGAACTTGCCTTTAGCAAAGCGCTCTCCCAGGAAAATGTTTACACAACTTTTTCCCTAAAGTTAGCGATCATAAAAATAAAGTGAAACAGACAAGAAGCGATCGTAGAATGTGAAAGGAAAAACTTTTTCAAACCAAGAAGCGAACAAAAATTGAAAAACCGCAGGCCCAACCAATACCATTATATTTCCATCCCACTCTCTGGCGATATTTGATAAAAACTGAAGGAAAATGCTCCGTGGTACCGCATCTAAAGTTTCTCAACTCAGAGCTGAGTAGGAAAACTCAGTGGCAGCGGCGAAAAGTCGTCCGCCGTGCCGTGTGCACTCACAATTATATAGACTAGTTTGCTTTGAGCAATCTTCCAGTTCAGTACTCGGCGCTTCCGTGTGTGGTTTTAGTGCGTTGTAGGTTCCGTTCTATCCCGTCAAATAGGTGCAGCTATATACCCCCGTCGGGTAGATATCGCCCTAACTCCTAACTGATATTGCACGCATCCACCATTGCAACTCACATTACTAATCCATCGCAACCGCTAGATAGCAAGATTACCGGCCAGGGACGAAACTGTGACTCAGTTTTAATATACTCTGATATATATCTGTCGTAGTGGCGGTCATTTTTTGTGTGTGCTTTCCCATATATTTCTACCTGTCTGCGTTATTTTTAAACAAAATATTCTGTATAGATACACATTTATTGCTCATGTTTTTCTCTGTTTTCTGTGATAAAAAAAAATCGTTCCTAATTTTTTTGTGAGAAAGATGTCTCTTTTTTGATCATTAACATAAGAATCTTCTATATGTATTACGTATACGTCCGGTTGGGTAATTTTCTGGCACAGGCGATGACGCCTCGACTGACAGATAAGAATTTTGATAGATGATCTACATAATGAAAATTGAGGAGAAAATTGTCGGGCATCGAATTGAATTTTAAAAACATGAATTATAATTCAATCGCATTAAAAACTGACGTATTCTTTGATTTTTCCTTTGAAACATAAAATTTTGTTTTACAACTAAATTCGC